AAGCTCCGTTTTGGGAGCTTCCTAGCCTCAGAGAAGCCTCTGGGGGTTGTTTTTGCTCCCCTAAGGCTCCTCTGGGGCTCAGGAAGAAAAGGAACAGAGCATGGGAGGGGCACGTAACACCCCTCCAAGCTCCGTTTTGGGAGCTTCCTAGCCTCAGAGAAGCCTCTGGGGGGTGTTTTTGCTCCCCTAAGGCTCCTCTGGGGCTCAGGAAGAAAAGGAACAGAGCATGGGAGGGGCACGAAGCACCCCTCCAAGCTCCATTTTGGGAGCTTCCTAGCCTCAGAGAAGCCTCTGGGGGGGAGTGTTCTTGCTCCACTAAGGCTCCTCTGGGGCTCTGGAAGGCAAAAAATGGAGGCACAGCTGATCTTATCTACAGCTGATTGTCGGGAGGGGGAAAAAAAGAAATACCTTAGGCGAATGTCAGGCAGGTGGGTGGGGTGAGCGAGCATCAGGCGGGAGGGTGACCGGGTGGGGGGTGTGGCCAGCCAGAACTTACTACCAGTTCGGCGACCCACACCAAATTCTTGCTACCGGTTTGCCCGATGCGGTGCGAACTGGCTGAATACCACCACTGTCTATAACCATTTTTTTAAAAGCAGTCCCTCACTAATGGCCACTGTACATTGGGCATGGTACCAAAGGATGCCTGGGATCATGAGACTTCATATACCTAGCAGAAGGGGCTCCTGAGGATTGATGACAGCAGGACCAGGAACTTCTCCCCACTTCAAGTAATGCTGCAAGACCAGATGGAGCCGGGCACGGTTAACCGTCTCCATGCAAACTGCCCGCACTGCTTGATAGTTGGCGTAGAGATGGAGGATGGTGAAGAGAGCATAGAGGGCATAGGTGAGGCTGAAGGAACGAGAAGGAGAATTGAGAAGAAGATTTCTTGTTCCTAATTTTATTTTTCCCAATACTCCATATATATATGGAAGGAGGGAGGGAGGGAGGGAGAGAGAGAGAGAGAGAGAGTGCAAAAACAGCATTTAACTCACAGGAGATTGTCCACTACAAGAGGGATCAGGAAAAGACTGAAGAGTAGGCCAGCTAAGTTCACTAGGGTCTCCTAAACAATGGGAGAAAGATGGGAGAAGATTAGAAGAAAGTTGGTTTAGACTAGAGGTCCTTTATGATCTCCACTTGGCCAAGCCTTGGGCCGGGTGTTGCTTCTTTGATCCCTCATCTCACCTGACTTCCATCTTTGGCTGATACATCGGCCATGTTGTCCCGGCGGGCCTGGTGCATGGTGAGAGCTGCACGGGTGGCCCCACCAGCTACACCCACAATGCACTGACATCCAGAGAAGATAAAAGAGAACAGAGCAGAAGATAAATGTGGTTGAAACCGTCACTGTCTCCACAACCATCCCACCAGGTTTGGTCTCTCCATTGTAGAGACCTCAGTCTGTTGCTTTCACTCCACTTTAACAGGTAGTTTAACTCCACTTTAACAGGTAGTCCTCGACTTACAATAGTTAATTAGGTGACTAAGTTACAACAGCACTGAAAAAGGTGACTTGTGTTTTTCACACTTATAATCACTGCAGCATTCCCTTGCTCATGTCAGAGTATATTCATGAACTGGAATAGAGCTTAGTAACAAGGTCAGCCAATGAGAGCTGAATTGAGGGCTGAAACTTAGAGAGAATCTGGGTATGGTTTATCTCTGTTCTATACTCAGCTCTAAAGTGAAAGAGAAACTAACTTGCTTGCTCGCTTGCCTGCTGAACTAAAGTGAAGCTCTGTTTCTGAGCTCCTGAGTTGCTGTTCTGCTCTGAACCTGTAACATGTCTGCTTCTGTCTGAGTTTGCTCCATTTTGGAGAAATCTACAACTGGTATTGTAAAGTTTACTTCATATGTTTATAAAGAAGTTAAACGCAGCCTCAGTCATCTGTGTTTACTTTTCTGGTGCTGAATTCATGCTGCAATACTCTAAACAGGTCAAGTGATGAAAATTTGGATGCTTGGCAGCTGGTTCGTATTTATGTGGGGTACAGTGTCCTTGGGCCATGTGACAAGTAAAGTCAATGGGAAAACCAGATTCACTTAACATCCTTGCTATTAACTTAACAATGCGATGATTCACTTAACAACTATGACAAGAAAAATCATAAAATGAGGCAAAACTTACTTATCAGATGTATCACTTAGCAACATAAATTTTGGGCTCAATTGTGATCTTAAGTCGAGGACTACCTGAATGGCCATCTCCCCTTCTTGCACTCTTGCTTTTTTACCTTGAAAAAGCCACTAGCGCAGACAATGAGCGTGAAGCATCCTGGGAAAGCTGGCGCCACGATCTCCATGAAGATGGCCACGTCATTGAGCACATCAGCAAAGAGTCTAAATGGTATTGAAAAAGTCACCCCATTAAGGTTAGAAATCAATCAGCCCAACCCAAGCGTACCTTTTGGGTACAATGCCCGGCTGTGGTTATGCATGAGCATGTACCTAAGACTGGGCATGAGATCTATTAATTGGAAGTCAAAACTGAAGGAAGGGCCTTATAACTCTTTACCTCCATTGTTTAGCATCACAATCCAGTTTGCTCCTGGGGAAAAAAAGAGAGAAAACAAGCAAGGAAGTAACAAGGTTTAAAGATCAAGTTCAGGTGTGGACTAGCATCATAGATTCACATCCACACTTATAATTCCCTGGATTGATTTACCCCCATCACTAGGTCTCAGCCCACCTCCCAGGACAGAATGGGACAATCCAGCATGACCAACTCACTGAAGGCGACTCACCATGGGACAATTTAACAGTTCAATCTAATTTTTTTTTTTTTTTAAAAGTATTTTAATTTTTGCCATCCACATTTCATTTTGCCCCTCCTTTTGCATTATTTACCAATTCTATTCCACCATTTCTTTGATATTTTGTCCTGCAGAGAGTTGTCCTGCAGTAAGTAAGCCATAGCAAGTTGTCCTGTGATGAGATGGCCAGTGTGGTGAAAGTATCACTAAGGGAGGATGCATGATTTATAGATGCCACTTTGAGTTCTTGGGGAGGGGAGTAGGCAACAAATGAAATATGAATTGCCCCATCCAAGGTGATGAGAGAATATAACAGATAACATAATCAGAGTTGGAAGAGACCTTGTAGGTCATCAAGTCCACCCCCCCCCATCCAAGCGGGAGACCCTACATCATTTCTGACAAATGGCAGTCCAATCTCTTCTTGAAGGTCTCAAGTGATGGCGCTCCCACAACTTCCGAGGGCAAGCTGTTCCATTGGTTGATTGTTTTCACTGTCAGAAAGTTTCTCTTTATTTCCAGGTTAAATCTCTCCTTGTTCAGTTTCCATCCATTATTCCTTGTCTGGCCTACAGGCGCTTTAGAAAATAGCTTGACTCCTTCCTCTCCTCAAATATTGGAAGACTGCTCTCATGCCTTCCCTGGTTCTTCTCTTTACTAGACTAGCCAAGCCCAGTTCCTGTAACCGTTCTTCGTATGTTTTAGTCTCCAGTCCCCTAATCATCTTGGTTACTCTCCTCTGCTCTCTTTCTAGTGTCTCAACAACCTTTTTATAATGTGATGAACAAAACTGGATGCAGTACTCTAGGTGTGGTCTTATTAAGGCTTCATAGAGAGGTATTAGTACCTCATTTGATCTTGATTGTATCCCTCTGTTAATACAATTTAGGATTGCATTAGCGGTTTTGGCTGCTGCTGCACATTGCTGGCTCATATTTAGCTGGTTGTCCACTAAGACTTTAAGATCCCTCTCACAGTTACTGCTATTGAACCTGGTTTCACACAGTCTATATGTGCACTTTTGGTTTTTCTGGCCTAAGTGTAGGACTTTACTTTTCTCTACATTGATTTCATTTTGTTAGATACGGCCCAATGTTCTAGTCTGTCAAGATCCATCTGGATCTTGAGCCTATCTTCTTGAGTGTTAGAAGGACTCACCCCTTGCTCCAAGCGAAAGCGATTCGGCCCAGCATTCCTGTTCCATCTGTCATAGAACAGACAAGAATGGTTTGAATGGCAACACGGGGAAAAATATAAAAGTAACACAAAGAGAGATTTCTGAGAAAGTAGGAGACCATGGCTAGTAGATCTAGAGGAGGGGAAAGCAGAAGGGGCTTAACCACATGATGACCTGAGACCAACATGGCTTCAGGGACTCCAGGCCCACCTAAACATAGATTCTATGCAAGCAGCTTAATTGTTTATATACCACAGCTTTATGCTTGCTCAACCTTAAGGAACAATTATTTGAAGGAATTGAGATCTAATCAGCCATCATGCCCAGCACATTTATTAATAGACACTGATACAACAAATTTTGCATGCAAGAGACCAAATTTTCACAGTATTTTATGTGGTTTGCATATAGTTTCATAGATGTTAGTCTTTTTATTGTTTTTAAATTGTTTTATTGTTTTAAGGTGCTGTGACCCATCCAGGGTCACATCTATGAGAATATAGTAGTAGAAATTAATTTTATCAATAAAATAATCATCATGTAAATGGCATAACCCCAGAGTTGCTTCAAAAGTGAGATGGGTGCCAGATAAATTTAATAAATAAATCATTTGTGTGTCATTTGCCTAAAAGGCAAATTATGCAATAACTGATTTCTGGATTTAACATTTGTGAATGATTAACTAGTAACTATTTCAATTTCATTATGACTGCCTCATAATGACATCTAAAATTTTGGTTTAACAATGGCGCAAACCAGACATGGTTGTTTGTAAAGCAATGCTCAGGGCTTAGGTTAGGTTGGCTTGCTCAAAAGTAAACAAGAGTTAAAATAAACCATGATGAATGTTGGAGAACCCACCATACTAATTTTGTGTTGGGTTTAGAAATCAAGGAAGAATGATTTAAGGCCTTGCGAGCCTATTACACTAGGTGAGGATTAGGAGAGGCAAGGAGGTGAACTTCTCCAGGGGATCTGGTGGCACAAGAAATAGGACTTGTCAATGGAAATAGCAATAGAATACAAGTGAGGAAGCTGGTGATGGAGAAAGGCCTTCCACCACGAGTAGGAAAGACTCAGAGAAATTCAAGCGAGGCCCACCTTTCAGAATCCAAGTGATAGTGGCAGCTGCGACGGTGGAGGTCTCATCCCCGACCCCCACCCCTTTCAGCACTGCCTGGGTGGCCAGTGTCCCCGTGATGCTGCTTGCGAAGGCCTGCAGGTTGATGGGGGGGGGGGGGATGAAGAGGAAGAGAGAAAGGGCAGCAGTTGGAATAGGATAAGGAATCCCCTGGGCCCAGTTCCATATCCATAATAACAGAGTTGAAAGGGATCTTCTAGTCCAAGACCCCATCCCATTTCAGACAAATGGCTGCCCAATCTTTAAAAAAAAATTTAAATTGTCCAGAGCACCCACAGCTTCTGAAGGCAAGATGTCCCACTGATTCAATTGTTCTGTCAGGAAATTTCTCCTGAGTTCTAGGTTGCTTCTCTCTTTGATTAGTTTCCATCCATTGCTTCTTGTTATGTCTTCATCACCTGGGGTTCCTCTTAGCTCACAGACTCCAAAACCTACACACCCCAAAGATTCAGCCAAAATAAGCCCTCTGTTCAAAAATGTGTTCTTCTACAGATACCAAAACAGAGAAGCGGCCTTTCTGGGTGAGGAGAGAAGGAAGATTTGAGCTTCATGGATCCCATGGAAAGAGAGCAGCCCTGCCCCTCAGGAAGGAACCTTTCTCTCACCTGGATGGTGTCCCAGAACTGGTAGGGGAGGTAGTCCGCGCTCACACTTTCAGGATAACCTTGGGGCAGGAAGATGGACTGCAGGAAAGAGAAAGGGTGAACACCTTCTTCCTTTTGACCCACTCAATTTCTGCCCATGGATCCCCTTTCATTTTTGCCAATCTGCCTGCATTCTCTTCCCCAATGAAGCGTTGTAGTGATTAGTTTCTTCCACTTCACCAAAAGTATCTCTGGATGACCCAGCAAGGGTTCGCACAAATCCTACAGCCAACGCAAGTCCAAGAGGAAAGGGTGTCTCAGCTGATCAGCATTCATTTTTAAATAGGGTGGTCCCGTGGCCATATTCACCAAGATCTTAAAATAATTATTTGAATCACAGTTGTGTAACCTGAGAACCTGGGACTCCTGAAAGCCATAATTGCCACTCACAGACCTCTACAAAAAAGTTATGAAATTGTAAGATTCTTTGGGAACATAATGAGAAAATTATTAGAAGTATGGCCGGAGAGGATCAGATTTGATATATCTACTTTTTATTAAGTCAATCATCATTTGTGTATCCCTCGCTGTCAAGTAGCTCTCTAAACTTTAAAGACATGTGGACTTCAACTTCCTGAATTCACCCAGAACTTTCATTCTTCCAGCGTGGAAGTTGAAGTTCACGCATCTTAAAGTTGCCAAGGTTGGGAAACTCTGTTCTAAACCATTTTTAAAACCAGAACAGTTTACTTACCACGAAGATGTGATGGAGTGAACGAAAGTGCCAGGCCTCAGAGGCATCTTCCACAGAACTTAGCTTTCCGTTAGGGAGGGCCTGGTAACGCCGAGCCGATCGAGAGCCGTAACTTTCCATGCAAAGTGTCTGAATTTCCAAATCAGCCATGATTGTGCCTGAACTTTTAAAGATATGCAGCATTAATCAAACATCACTATAACTGAGAAAAAAAATGTGATCATTGTCTTACTAGAAGATCGTGCAAGATGAAAGTTTTGAAGATCCTCTCCAAAAAGGAGGTTATCACTCAAGCAATCTGGAAAGTTTGCACAAATATACATATACATATCTACATACCCACATATAAAGTGTGCATGTGTCTATGTATTTGTTTTCATTTAATTTTTAATATTGTTACAATACAGAGTCAGAGATGGGTGGCCACATAAATCAAATAAAAAAATACAAGTTAAAAGCTTCCTGTTTGTGGTCAATCCACCCCAAAGCCTTTAATTGGATAATTTTCTACCTATTTAATTATATAAATGGTATGTTCATGATTGCATCCTTTTTTTTTACAACAAAGAAGGAGAAGTGGAGTAGAACAGTGTATCTAAATCTCAGCAATCTTAAGATGTGTAGACTTCAACTCCCAGAATTCCCTAGCCTAGCTGGAGAATTCTGGGAGTTGAAGTCCACATATTTTAAAGTTGCTGAAGTTGAACAGCATGTGCTTATGTTGCTGCATCCTTCACTTTTGATCAAACTGTCAGAGAACTGCTAGAGGGCGGAGCTGGCGTCGCGACGATACAGCATGCAATCTTGGAGGTCTGAGATCGCTGCCGATATCTTTGCTCCTGGATGGTCCAAATGGATCTAAACCGTCCCGAAGAGATGGTGAAACTGAAGAGCGCATCCTGTCGATCCCAGGGATACCACAAAATCCCTGGTAGATCCAGGAGAAGCTCTTCTTGCCAGCGGCAAAGAGGCAGCCATTAAAGCTGCTGAAGTTGGGACAGCTCTGAAACGAAAGAGAACAGAGAGAGTGTGCCGGTTTGGTGAGAACTTTTTCTTTATTCTAAGATCTGAAAGGACACCCTAAGAAAAGAAAGAATCTGTAAAAGTTTTGACAGAAGTGATTAAGCGGCGATTTTAAACAGGAATGTCAAAGTAATGTTTTTTTCTCATTGCTGGATTTTCTATACATGATCTTATATTTTGAAACTGGACTGGTTTTTTCTTTTCCATCTATTTTTTTCTCCTCTTTTTTGATTTTGTAACATTTTAGGCTAGAGACTCCCTTTTAGTTATTTCTTTTTAAAAAAAAATTTTTTTATTAATTCTTATTATATTTTGCTTGGAAAAGGAGGGGGAAAATGAAAGCAAAGAAACTTTGTAACACTGCCAACTAGAGGCTTGGAAATATTCTATTTCTCTTGTGACCAGACAAAGCTGAGAAAGAAAGAACTGAGACTTTTTTTCAAGGACATTGCTATTTGATAAGATAGAGGGAAGAGCATGGGAGAGTATTATTGCAGGTGCTCTCCTGGGTTTCTATCAACAGCTGGAGTCTGGTGTTGAAGTTTATAGGAAAAGAAAAGGTGATAAGTTTCTGGAGAAGAGTGTTATAACAAGAGCCTTGGATAACTAAACAAAGTGCATCTTGATTTTTCCTAAGCTGTGCTACCCTTCCTCAACAGTTTACTTTTTGAAATAGCTATTTGGATTTTTAGTTCTTTGGAACTTGTCTTTTTTTTTTTTTTTGCTTGTCTTTCGAAGTTAAATTTTTACGTTTGCTTTTTATTTTAAAAGAAAAGTTTTAGTATTACTGATTCCCTTCCTTTTCTTTTTAAGGGTGTAGCCTTTTTTTCTTTTTCTCTTTCTGTCTTTCTGGTACTTTTGTTTTTCCATCTACCTCCAATACTGTTTTTTTCTTTCTTTTTATCTTCCTGGCTTTTTTTTTTCTTTTTCTCTTATGCAGCCTTTTATATTTGAGACCTCTTAATTGGATTAAGGTGTTGAAGAACCTGAAGAATTTCTCCTTTTTTTAAGCTTTTTATTCCTCACTTTTCCGTCTTTTTTAGGATTTTACAACTTTTTCTCTTTTGTGTATGTTTATGGTTTTTCCTTCATTTTTGAATTTTCATTGTTATCTAACTAATCGATTGGATTAAGGTGTTCAAGAACTTGAAGAAATTCTTTTTTTATTATTATTACTATTTGGCTTCTTTTTCCCTACTATTTTTATTTGGAATCACAATTGGTTACTTCATAATTGGATTAAGGTCTAGAAGAACCTGAAGATTTTGAATTGTTTGAAATGAGTAGGATATTAACAGCTCCTGGTTCTTCAACTTCTACTTCCTCCTCTCCACCATCTGGAGGACAACGTTCAATACAGACAATGTTAAGGCAAGAGAAAGAACAAGAAAAAGAAAAAGAAAAAGTGACCCTGCAGATGATTATGCAAGGAATTCAAAACATTCAGACAAGATCAGAGAATATTGAAAAGAGAATAGAGAACATCGAACAAAGAACAGAGAACATTGAACAAAGAACAGGGAAAACCGATGAAAAAGTCGAGAACATCCAACAAATGATGATGAAGCATGATGAGAGACTACTAAAAATTGAAGAAGATAAACAAAGAGATAAGAAGATTGGAGACATTGATAACAGATTAACTGTGGTTGAACAAGATAAAAGTGGTATGCTGAGATGGGAGATGGACAGATCAGAATTTTATCTTAGATTCCAAAACATAGAGGAAGAAAAAGGACAAAATCTAGCTGAGATAATGATAGAAATATTGGCTGAAGCTTTGGAAATAACTGAAGAGAAGATGATGGATGGAATCGATGAGGTCTATCAAGTCTTCACAAGATATGCAATGAGAAATAGCCTACCAAGAGAAATTCACATCAAATTTACAAAGAAAGCCATTAAAATGCAAATATTGCAAGTGGCAAGAGAGAAAACATTGAAATATAAAGATAAGGAGATTGTGGTTTTGAAACAAGTACCCAGAAGAGTGAGAGAGATGAGAAGAGAATACCGATTCTTGACCAAATTGCTACTTAAAAAAGAGGTGAATTATAGATGGCTGATTCCAGAAGGTTTAATGTTCACATGGCAAGAACAGAGATACAGAATTGATTCAATTGAGAAAGCTGAATCATTCTATACAGAATTTTTCAGAGGGAAAGAGGAAGAGGCAGAAAAAGAAATTTCACTAATTGAATTCCAAGAGGACTGCCAAATGATGACTGAAAAAGAGGAAGGTGCAGTAGGTGGAAAGGAGGAAGCCAAAGGTCAACGTGAACCAAGATCCACGAGAGCTGCCAAACCTAATTATAAAATATAACCATGGAAGAGAAAAAATTGATTACAATTAATATAAATGGACTTAATTCAACCGTTAAAAGAAGGAAAACCTTCCATAAATTAGAGAAATTAAAATCTGATATAATCTGCCTACAAGAAGTGCATATTAAAAAGCAATATGAACAATTGTTGATACAGCCGAAACTAGGGAAAATATTTACCTCCTTGACACAATGCAAGAAAAGAGGAGTGGTTTTATATATTAAAGAGACCATTCCAGCGAAATTGATTTATACTGATGATGACGGAAGAATACTAATGGTGGAAATAATGGATAATAATACGAAAACTCTCCTGATTGCAATTTATGCCCCGAATGACAAACAAGAAGAATTTTATAAAAAATTACATATGAAAATAATTGAACAGGACTACGCTAATATAGTTATGATGGGAGATTTTAATGGAATTGTAGACAACAAACTGGACTATACAGCACAGAAAACAATAAAGCAAAACAGAAAGACTCTCCCTAAATCTTTTTTTAAAATGGTAGATGAAATAAACTTAAAAAATACATGGAGAGAAAGAAATGCTAAAACTAAACAATACACCTTCTACTCAAATAGACACTTATCATGGTCCAGAATAGATATGATATGGATGTCAACAGAATTGTTAACTAATATTCAAGAAATAAATATTGAAACAAGTACTTGGGCAGATCACAATCCAATGACAATTAAATGGAAAGGACAAAGAAGAAGATCTAGATGGACGTTAAATAATACTATTTTAAAGGAAAAAGACTTCACACAGTGGATGGAGAAAGAACTGGCTTTTTTCTTTAGAGAAAACAAAAAAGAAGATACATCAATCCAGAACGTATGGGATACAATGAAGGCATATGCCAGAGGCTTGATAATAGACTATACAAGGAAAAGAAATACTATGAAAAGATTAGCCTCTAAGGCAGGGGTGGGCAAACTTTTTGGCTCGGGGGCCTCATTGACTTTTAAAATTTGACAGACGGGCCGCCACCTGGTGTCGAAATGCCTGTCATTACAAGTCAAAATCAAATGAATGCAATCATTCAATCATTCACATCAAACCTTAATTCTGTACCAATCTTCGGCGGGCCGGATTAAAAAGACCAACGGGCCGGATGTGGCCCGCGGGCCGTAGTTTGCCCACCCCTGCTCTAAGGCATTAGAGGATGAGTATAAAGGACTTGAAAAAGAGCTACAGAAAATGCCACAGAAAAAGGACATTAAGTTAAAAATGGATATAACCAAACATAAAATGGGTCTAGTAGAAAAAGAAGAATTAGCACAGAAAATTAGAGGTGCTAAACAGAACTACTTTGAAGATGCAAATAAACCAGGTACCCTGTTTCTCCAAAAATATGGCCTCCCCCAATAGAAAGTCCCAGCATGTTTTATAGGAATGTAATGAAATTAAGCCCCTCCCCCCCAAATTAAGGCCTATATTAAAACATGCGAAATGGGGGGGGAATGGTGGGGGGGCTTGCCGTTAGGAAGTACTTTTGTTGCACACCCGGATATGGTGCTGCCTGCGTTGACCCCGATACGAAGTGCCCCACCAACGCCAAGGTCAACATCCAAGCCGTCGCCGCCCACCCAAAGATGCAGGGGGGGGTAATTAAGTCACCCCCGAAAAGACGGCCTAGCCATTTTTTCGGGGCTCAAAAAAAAATAAGACCCTGTCTTATTATATGAGAAACACGGTAGATGGTTAGCATATAAATTGAGAAAGGAGAAAGAATCAAGGAAAATATTGCAATTAATAGATGATCAAGGCCAAGTTTGCTATGGTAGTAAAGAGAAGAAGGAAATTATTTGAGACTATTATGGGAAACTATACACACAAGAGAATATTGATGAGGAAAGAGTCAAACAGTACCTACAGAATGCTAAGTTACCCCAGATACCTAAAGAGATTGAAACAGTGTTAGAAAGCAATATAACGATGATGGAGTTAACTGAAGCACTCAAGAAGCAAAATAATGGAAAGGCACCAGGCCCAGATGGACTTCCGGCAGAATTTTACAAAACATTACAAG